CTCGGCTCCCCGGGGAGGCCAGCCGATGGGGGGTCCCCCCGCCCATCACTGCAATGAGAGCGGTGCTGGTCCCCCAGACCCAAACCCTCCTGCCACCTGCTTGCTCCATGAGGCTGATGTAAGAAGCTGGGGAAAGCTGGGGCCAGCCCCGAAAATGGAGCTGCTCTGTGGTAATTACGACCCCGGGTCCAGCCACCATGGGAGACCCCAGCCCGCTCCCCACGGCACGCGTCCTGCACCCCACATTCCTGCATCCCCCCAGGGCTGCAGTTGGGGGGACCCCCGGCGACCCCCGGGGACACTCCTGCCGAAGAAGAGCCCAGACCCCGCGCAGCCCGGTGGTGCAGCGTTACCTGGTGTGGGTGCATCCCTGGGGCTGTGCGGAGCATCGCAGCTGAGGCCGGGGAGAGCCGGGAGGAGCGGCAAAGCCCCCAGAGCCCGGGCCAGCAGCCGTGGCCCCAGGGCCAGCACCCGGACCCTCACCTCCCTGCAGCAGTGGTTGATGAGCCGCAGGTGGACGCTGACTTTGGTTTTAATCTTTATCAGGCACTTGACCATGGCGGCACGGGCAGCGGCTGGGCCGGCCCGCGGGCTGGTGCCGCTGGCCCCGGGGTCAGGGCTATTTTGGGCTCCTGCATTTCTACGGGACTGAGCTGAAGTGAGAGTGAAGAAAAGCAGCTGCTGGCAGGGCACGAGCTGCTGGGGCAGGGGTGGTGCCGGGAGCCTGCGCCAGCTCGGGGTAATTTATTGTGGGAGACTATTTAATGCTCTTGCCGCTTCGCAACGGCACGCATGGGAGGCGGGGGAGAGGGTGCTCACATGTACCGGGCAGCAGAGGTGACCCCGTCCGCAGGCCTGCCGCAGCTGCCAGGCACACTCCCGCCCCCAAAATCAGCACAGGCGTCAGCCCTGGGCTCCCTCGATGGCCAGAAATCCCTTTCCTGCTCTGAGGAACCCGTGCCTTTGGGCAGGCAGCATTTCTGCACCCTGTCCCTGCCCGTAGCAGGATCGGTGCGGCTGTGCTGGGGTGGGGGCTGGCCCCGCAGCCCCTCTGGGAGCAGGGCACGACTGCAGGGTGCACCCCCCCTCACCCCACACTCCCTGCCATCCCCGGTCCCTCGTCCACCTCCCAGTTTTCCAAACTTTTGTGCATTGTCCGATGGCCCCAACGCACACCGGCAGCACCCACCACACACCCCGCTCTCCGTCACCCCAGCGTCACCGGGAGTCAGACACTGCCGTCACCAGTGGGTACCGCAGCCACCGCCAGCAGCTCAGCCGCAGCCCCTGCGTTGTCCCCCGCCCCGCGGGGCAGCTCCAGGGCTGGTCCCAGCGTCCTGCCCTCTGCCAGCCCTCCTCCCCAGGTGCACGCACGGCCCTGACCCCGGCTGCAGCCCGGCCCCAGGACGGGGGGTACCAGCCTCCCCGCCGCAGGCTGGCACAGCGGCAAGCCATCGGTGGTGGCCATCAGCCGGCCAGGAGCAGCTCCCAGGTGGGTGACAACTTCTTTTGCAGACCAGCTTGTTCCTGCACAGTCAGACCCCAGCCCTGCGGCTCCCAGTGACACTCCACTCTGCTGGGACCCCCCCGGGCGCTGCCGTACCTCTCCAGGCAGGTTTGCTTTGCTTTCAAACCAGGGCCAGGTTCTGAAGAGCAGGGCAAGGCACGCCGGCACGGGGCTGCCAGCGTCACTTCAAAGCGGGGCTCGCTCCCCCCTCCCCTGGGGCAGAGCTACCAGGGCAACCGGGAGCCTTCTGCCAGATCTCCAATTTAATCTAAATTAACATTGCTGAGAAATTCTCCTCTGCTTTGCTTCTGCACTGGAAGCTTCTGTCACACAACCGGCCCTCCGCTTTGCCTGGGCTCAGCTATTGATGCCAAACTTGCCCCGAGCCGCAAGGGCAACCTCTGGTGCTGCCAAGCCTTGCTGTGAGACCCTGGGGACACGTCAGGGACCCTCCCTGCCCCGGCGTCCCTGCATCAGCATCAGGGGCTATGAAAATCTGATTTTCAGCTGGATGTGAGCGTCGGCTTTTTGTGTGCACATGTGTGTACGTGCACATGCGTGCATGTCCCCAGCACCGGGGCTGCCCTGGCTCCCAAGCCCCGGCAGCAGCAGGGAGAGCCGCCCCGTGCCCTACCTTCCATGATGGAGATGTGCACGGCTCTCCTCCGGGTGCGGGGCACGCTGCTCAGGCGGGGGCCGTGGGTGATGGAGGGGCAGCTCCGGCTCGGCACCAGCCCTGCCCTGGGGATGAGAACGGGGACGGTGTCAGAGCCCCAGGCACACGGCAGCTCTCCCGCTTCGCTCCTCCGCCGCCCCGGGGAGCCGGGTACTGAACCCCTGGGAGGCCCTGGCCCTGCGCACTGCACCGCACCGCGCCGCTGCTGCCGGGCTCTTACCGGTGAATCTCGGGGGGCTCCCTCTTGATCTTGGCACTGGACTCCATCACCTCCTTTGCAACGCGGCCACTGCAGGCAGTCGAAGAACAGCAGCCGTGAGGATGTGACGGCTGCACCGGCGAGCCGCGAGCTCCCCCGTGGCACACCGCGCCCCGCCAAGCCTGGCCCCCTCCCCACGCATGTGGGCCGGTGGGGGGGACTCTCCCACAGCTCCAAGGGAAAGCAGAAATATTTGCTGGAAATAAGGGTGACGGGAAGAGCAGGGAAAGGCTGGGCTGATGCCTCTGCCATCACGTTTTGCTGCTTCTCCTGGCACGAGATGACGGACACTGTGGGGTCACCTCCCCTCCAGGGAGGGGGTCACACCATGGGCGCCTGGGCCCTCCCGTGCCAGCAAGGAGGGTGCTGGCATCGCGCACGTCACAGCTGGGGACGCGCTGGGGTCTCTTGTCCTGCAGAGATACCAGGTCCCAGCTCCAGGCTCTCGCTCCAGGGACGAGGAGGAGCAACACCCCCCAGGAATTCAGGAATTTCGGTGATTTGTTTCACTCCTTGTTGTTCTCAAAAACCAAACCCCAAAGCCCCCTGTCCTCTCCCCTCTTCCACTGCTATCCCTCCAAAAATCTGCCGTTCTGGGGCTGGAGAGAGGGATGGCAGCTGTGCAACAGAGAAAGAGGCGGTGATGGCCTCGGCAAGGCGGCAGCACCGCAATGGGAGGCCCTGTGGCAACAGGAGGACCCTTAGCAAGTCCTCAGACCGCTGCAGCCCTGAACTGCTCCCCACCGCACAGCCTAAGGAGCATCCGAAAATACCCAGTACCTGCTATTTACTGTCGGTATTTACCTGTATCGGAACCGGCTTCCCTTGAAGAACAAGTTGCTGCTGGACACCGTCCGGACCTGGCTCGACTTCTCCAACCTGCAACAGCACCAAGAGCCACGTGAGTGCCCTGTGTTGCCGGCCAGGTGCTGAGCACCCGGGCAGGGTACAGCCCCCGGCACCGCTTCATGGCAAAGCCTTCGCCCAGTTTTGTTTCTAGTGCACCGTGCTGGTGACGAGGATTGATTGCTCTGCTGATGCCCTTACAGCATCGTCCCCGCCAGACTGACCAGCACCAGCGGGAGGGAGCCGCACGCCGCCGGCAAACGGCAGCGAGGCCAAATCACAAGAGCAAAGCCCTGGAGATGCAAAACACCACCAGGAACAAAACAAGCCGCCGGCAGCGGTGGGGTGACACCGGCTGGCAGGACACGAGCACCTGGACCGTCACGGCATCACCCGGCCGCCCTCTCCGCCAGCACAGCACATCCCTGCCGGCAGCGGGAGCGGTGCCCAGCCCGTGCCCGGGCTCCGGGACAGACCCGGTGCCAACGGCTTCCCGAGCGGCTGCAGGGGGGCTCGGGCCGCAGCTCACACCGGGTCCCCTGGGGCCACCAGCACACGGGAGCTGCACAGGGCTGGAGCTCTCCAGGGGGCTAAAACCCTCGCCACGACCTCTGCGTGGCAGGGGCGCAGGAATCGGCCCGTCCCAGGCAGCCTGGCTCTCGCTGGGGCCAGTTTGGCCAGCGGTGGGTGAAACCGCCGGGAGGGACTGTCCCATCTCCTCCTCATCCCGTGGGAGCCGGTCCCTCACCCCGGGAGGCGCCCAGCAGCACCACGGCGAGCCCACAGTCCACTCCACCGGGTGCATAACGCAGCAGTAATTTACTGACATGATTAATCATAAAAAGATTTGTAAAGCAATATTGCAATTTCATTTCATGTTAATATAATGAGAAATGAAACCGGCTGATTGCAGCTGCTGATTGCAGTATTCCCAAAGAGAATACATCACACGCTTTATCTCGCATCTTGCTGATTAAAATAAAACTCATTACAAAGCACAAAGCAGGCTATTTTTAAGTACAACATGAGCGGGATGGTAAAACCAAACCGTTCCACCTGGCACCTCCCTGGTTTTTGGGCAACAGTCCAGCCCGTGACCTCTCCCTTTCTGTCGGACAGCCCAATTAACCAAAGCAGGGGCAGAAAAGCTGCCTTGATGGCCACGAAGCAGGGAGCCCGGAGCTCCTGGGAATGACACCACCTTCGCCCGCCTCCCCAGGCAGGAGCTCCCACCGCCCCGCCGAGAGCCCCAGCCCGCAGGTGCCCCAAAGCCAGGCCGCTGCAGGAACGCTCCCTCGAGCCGCCGGCCCCGACTGCCCAGGCTGGCGGCTGCAGCCCAGGCTGCACGACACCTCCCCGGTCCCTCGAATATGTCACATGAATAACTAACTTGTTCCCAAAGAGCTTCGAAGCAGATGATTTCTGAAAGTTTTTGAGCTTTCCCCATTAAAAGGTAGGCTTTTCTAAAGCACCCCGGGGCACTGGCTCGACTTCAGTGGGGATTTTAGCACTGGATTCAGCACAAACACACCCTGTGAAGCCATTTTGAAAAGCCACCCTTGAACGCTGGGTCAGAAAATATTCCAAGTTTTGCTGGCATCTGCACCTGCTGCCTCCCACACCGGCTGCTCACAGCGCCTGAGCATCCGCACGCGCGGGCCTGCTCCGAATAAGCGGCCATTAACGGGGAAAATGCTAAACCACATCTGCTGTTGTGGACAGGACGTGCGCCGGTGGCTCAGCATTAAAGGCTTAATCTCCAAACAATTAGTTTTAATCTCCTGATTAAAGCTTTGCTGCGGGGGGATGAGTGCAGCAGGGGCGGGAGGGACCCAATGGGGCAGAGCCCCCACCCCAGGGTTACCAGTGCTTTTGGTGGCTGGTGACTCTGCTGGAGCCACTGGGACAGGGGGCCACGTGGCCGGTGAAGGCAGTGCCCGAGCCCCGGCAGGCGGACGGAGCCCTCGGGCGGCTGCTGTGCGGGGCAGCGCCGACCCACAGGGCGATGCAGAACACACCACTGCTTACTTGTAGAAAGCCTGGTTTTCTATCCCACACTTCCAGAGGTGCTTGCAGGCTTCTGGTGTTGGGGCAAAATATGTAAGAACAATTTTCTTTTCCTAAAGGAGAAAGAGAAGGAGTCAGTAGGAGAACAAGTGCGTGATGCCCACCGGGCAGCATGTCAGGAATGTGGATGGAGGCCAGAGCAGCCGGAGCTGGAGACCGGCACTGCCACGGGGCTGATCCTCCTCCGGAGCCGCTCATGATGCAGGGAGACATTGGAGCACCGGCAGCACCCTGGCACAGCACTCGGCGTGAGGGATGGGCAGACGTGCGTGCCGGTGACCTGCCGCCCACCTCCTCCAGCTCACCTGCCTTTCTGAATGTCCAGAAATACATTTTTAACAAAATCATGCTGATGGCTTGCGTGGGAGCCATTTTCAGCCAGCGGTTTCCAGGCTGACTTAGCTAACCAGGGCTGACCGAGCGGGATGGCGGTACCAAATAACCACAATAATCCCAAACGCAGGAGGTGGCTGTGGCGGGCAGGCACGGCGCGGAGCTGCGGGAGGTCCCCGGCTCTGCCTTGAGCCCTCGCCACAGCACAGCCCCGGGCTAACCCGGTGTCTGCAGGCTCTCAGGCCCAGAGCAAGGCACCAGTGGGAGCAGGGAGGTGACCCCAGCGCTGCCACCGAGCTGCAGCCCCCATCACCGTGCCCGCGTCCCTGCACCGCAGGCACAGGGCAAGGCCGCTGCAGGCTGCAGCCTGCCAAGTGCAGGAGAGCCTGCTGAAGCACCCACCACGGCTGCGCTCGGGAAGTCCCACGGGAAGGGAAAGCACTCACCTCTTTCTGACTTACGTATAAATAGAACGTCTTTCCTTCAAATTTCATTTTGGTCACCTCATTCCTGAAAGGACAAGGACAGGCCGGTGAGAGGCTGCGCGGAGCCCACCACAGCCCGGCTGGCTCACAGGCACAGCCCCGGCCAAAGCGCTCGCGGGGAGCTGCAGGCCATGAGCTGGTGCTTCAGGGGTGGCAGTGGGACACCTTCAAGACTGTTTTCAGTCCCTGGGAGGTGCCATGGGGCGGTGAGAGGAGCCCTGGCTCAGAAACCATCACCTGGAGAGGGGGATGCCCTGGGGTGAAGGTGACGGTCACCGGGGTGCCCCAGAGTCACTGGGGACCCCGTCACATGGGCACCGGCCGGGTGGCAGTGCCAGCCGTCAGGGACACACCGGCCAACATCTGAGATGCAGCAAAGACCGAGGAGCAACGCAGTCAGGTTCCAAGGGGCTGGGGCAGCTTTCGGGGGACTCGGCCAACACACGGAGGATGCAGGTTAATGTTGACATGTAGAAAATAAGAAGTCTGCAGGCAACAAAGCAAACAGAGAGCATGCAGCTCACTGGGAGAGCCCTGTGCCGTACTGACCAGCGTGGGCTTAGGGACCAGAAAAGCCCTTAGAGCCACAGCCCAGCGTGCGGCTGCAGCAAGGGAGCAAACAGGCTCCTGGGCTCCTCCAAGGGCAGGACAGAGCAAGAAGTGCCACCCTGAGTGCACACCGCAGGCTCTGCTCAGCCGCTCTCCGTGCCTGGGGGGAGCCCTGCTGCCCTGGCAGCGTACCCTGAAGAGGCCCTGTTCTCTCCCCTGCTGCTGAGATGAGGGCGTGCAAGCTCATGGGTGCACTGGTGCAAGCATGTGCGGGGCACGGACGGGTTTTCCAGCTGCTGCAAAATCATTCCCCTCCATGTCCTCGGCTCGGACCCCGTCCCGGCTCTGGGCACTGGGTGCACTTACCACCGTCCCTTGCAGGCACATCATCTCTACCCCGGTGCGGTGTGAGTGCCTGGGGAAGGCACCCAACGCTGGGACTGCCCATGTGCCCCGTCTGCGGGAGCTCACCCCAGCATCCCTCGAGCGCCCCGGGGAGATGCAGGGCACTCATGGCCCCTGCCCTGCAGCACCCCGCGCATCTCACGACCCAGCAAGCAGAAGCGAGCCGGCCGGCACAGCTCCAAGCGAGCAGGGCACTGAGGGCGATGCCGGGGTGGGAACTCACCACTTGATGAAGTGAACTCTCTTGTTTCCCTGCAGAACGACAAAACCGAAGGGAGTGAAGGCCAAAAACGCTGCGTTCCCTGACACATCCTGGAAGAAAATAGCAGTTTCTCAGCAAAATGTTGCGGATCCAGCAAAGCTTACACGCCATCGGCGACCCTCAGCCCTACAGGCGGTGGCGATGCAGAACCCTCCACGCCGCCTCTGCCAGCGGGATGCTCCTGGCAGCTCACCCAAACCATGGCACCCTGCACACAGCAAAACCCGCAGCCCAGCAACGGGGCAGCTGCTTCAGCAGCACTAATGAGGAGAAACCACAGTACAGCTCCCAGCCCCAGCGGTCCCATCTGCTTGCAGGTGAGGAATAACAGCGAAGGCAGTGCCCCAGCAACCCTTTCAGTAGTGATTTGTACTGGGTTTGCATGGCGAGGTTTTGGCAGCGGGGGGCTACAGGGGCGGCTTCTGTGAGAAGCTGCCAGAAGCTTCCCCTATGTCCAACAGAGCCAATGCCACCGGCTCCAAGACAGACCTGCCGCTGGCCAAGGCTGAGCCCACCAGCGATGGTGGTAGCGCCCCTGGGATAACAGATTTAAGAAGGGGGGGGAAACAACAAAAACTGCACAACTGCAGCTGGAGAGAGGAGTGAGAATATGCGAGAGGAGCAGCCCTGCAGACACCCAGGTCAGTGCAGAAGGAAGAGGAGGAGGTGCTCCAGGAGCAGAGATTCCCCTGCAGCCCCTGGGGAAGCCCAGGGTGAGGCAGGCTGTGCCCTGCAGTCCGTGGAGGTCCACAGTGGAGCAGAGATCCACCTGAAGCCCCTAGAGGACCCCACGCTGGAGCAGGGGGATGCCCGGAGGAGGCTGTGACCCCATGGGAAGCTTGTGCTGGAGCAGGCTCCTGGCAGGACCTGTGGACCCATGGAGAGAGGAGCCCAGGCTGGAGCAGGTTTGCTGGCAGGGCTGGTGACCCCGCGGGGGACCCACGCTGGAGCAGGCTGCTCCTGAAGGACTGCGCCCCATAGAAGGGACCCACGCTGGAGCAGTCTGTGAAGAACTGCAGGGAGGCCTCCCCTGAGGAGGAAGGAGCGGCAGAGACAGCGTGGGATGAACTGAACCCCCATTCCCCATCCCCCTGTGCCGCTGGAGGGGAGGAGGTGGAGAAATGGGGAGTGAAGTGGAGCCCGGAAGAAGGGAGGGGTCAGGGGAAGGGGTTTTAAGGTTTAGTCTTTATTCTCCCATTACCTTACTCTGATTTGATTGGTAATAAACTAATTTCCCCACATTGAGTCTGTGCTGCCCGTGACAGTAATTGGTGAGTGATCTCGCCCTGTCCGTATCTCGACCCACCAGCCCTTCGTTATACTTTCCCTGTCCAGCTGAGGAGGGGATGACGGAGCGGCTTTGGTGGGCACCTGGCCTCCAGCCAGGGTCAACCCAGTCATCCCACCACGCAATTAAACCAGAAAACGGTAAAAACCTGTTACACTTGACTCCCTCAGAGCCCTGCACAGCCAGTGCAGCTGGGCGGCATCGAGGCAGTTTAAAAGCAATAATTAGTGTCACATAGGGAGCAAGGCAGCAGTTTAACTTAATCATAACGTCTAGACTCCAGGGAAGTGATCATTAACTGCACTGGTGCACACAGAAAAAACAGAGATATACTGAATTTTAAAAATATTATGAAACGGTTGTGGCCACTCGGTAATGGTTAGATTCGCCCTGACTTTTCTTTGGCCGTGGATGTTCAGATGGCTTTCAAAGGATGCTGAGCCGAAGGGAAGGTGCATGCCAGGCTTGGGATTTCTGGTGCGCTGGGCAGGAAAAGCAGGAAAGTGATTTATGTTCGGTGTTTTCTCAGGGGAAAGCGTGGCACGGGGCGTCCCAGCGGGACGCCCCATGCCCAGGATCTCCCCAGCTCAGGGGTACAACCCTCCCCCTCTGCTCCTAGTTGTGCCCTTCCCTGGCTTAATCAAGAGGTGACACATCTTTCCAGCCTGGGATGCTGGATCTCGGTTACTCTGCTGGCACGGTGCAGGGCTGGCAGGGAGCCAGCGTTGTGATGAGATCTTCTGAATTTGAGCAGAGAACAAATTGGTTCTAAATCCAGGTTAGATCAAAAATCCATCTTAATCTTTCAAAGGTGAATGCCAAAAGCAGAGTCCTGAACCTCAGCCCAATGCCCTGCACAAAGCACGATGTAAATCCCCAAACGCATCGTGTCTGAGCTGCAGCAGCCCTGTCTTGCAGAAGGAAGATCTCTGTGCACCTTCGCAGAAACCAGCCCGCGCGTGATGCACCAGCCTGGCAGCGGCTCCTGCAGCTCAGCCTGGGCTGCCCAAAGCACTTTGGTTCTTTCCCGAATCTGGGAAAACCTTCGGGAAAGGGAAAAGCAGCATCTTGGCAGAGGGACGTACCCTCCTGGCGGGTGCGGACCCCGCTCGCCCCTGCACACCGCTGACAGGCCAACCCACCCAGCCCTGCCTATGGCTGATGCTGCAGCGGGGCAGGTCGGAGATTAACGGAGTGCCAGGCTGGAAGCTGGATGGTCTTGGAGGTGCTGCTTTGGGATGGGAGGAGTGGGGCCGAGCTCCCCCCGGTCAGGGCGGAGGGGGGAGCAGGGTGCCCCTGGGAAAGGTGGGGGATGCTGGGGGTGAGGGTGGGGAACTGGGGGTGCAGAGGCTCGACAGGGGTTGGGGATGCTCAATGGGGCACAGCACCCTACAGGGAAATACGAGCAAAGCACAGACCCCCCAGCACCGGCGCTGAGCCAGACGAGCCGAGCATCACTCCCAGGGCAGCATGGCCCAATCCAGCCGGCAACACAGGGTTGCTGAATCGGCGCAGTGATTCAGCTCCTCCAGCCTGGCAACCTCTTCGGCAACCACGGCCTGCCAGTAAACAGGACACCCCCCGCCCAGGCCAGGTGTATTTACTGCAATTGTGTATTTACGGGGCATAATTCAGTTAAAAGCCCCGGGGGACCACAGAGCAGGCAAGGCCCTTAGAGTAAAAGTCTCCGTCTGCTTTGCATCCTGCATCCATTTGCATGCAATGGGATTATAAGGGACCAGAGAGAGACAAATGCAATGACATCGACAGTCAATAAAAGGCATTTCAAACAGAAAACTGGATTACTGGCCAGGGACGAGCAGAGCGATAGACTGTCTCTGGCAGATTAATGCTTGTTGGTTTCTCAGACACATTACTGACCTCGTTACTGCCTCCGAATTACATGCTTTAGCAGAAGATGATCGGCTGCTGTCTTTTATAGCTGTCTGCATGTGAAAACGCTTTCTTACGGCTTCCCTAAATACCCTCTGGAAGGATTTCGGGGCACTGGCCCTCCCCGCTCCCCTCTGGGCTCACGTGCCCACTCGGGGCTGGTTTCAGGCTGGAGACGGCAGTGGGCTCCAGCCCGTCCCAGGCACCGCGGCTCTGCCAGCACCACAGCCCGCTGGCAGGTGACAAACGGCTGCGCTGGGGACCAGTCAATGGCACCTCTGCAGCTTGTTACCGGCTGGAGCGAGAAAGCCAAGGCAAGGAACAGTGTTCAGAAAACTCTTTTACCTTGCAAGGGTGTGGGTCAACCCCGTAGGTCTCCAGAGTCTGGGCTTTCCTGAGAAAATTCAGCTCTGAAGTAGCTGGTGTCTGCCCACTACAGGAGGGAAAAAAATAGGAAAAAAAAAAGAATATTGCATGGAAGACATGAATGTGAAAGTCAGTCCTCGGTTACAGGGTTTCTGTTAACAAGAGGCATCAGTCATGGCATATTCCCATTACACTCGTTAGCACAATCAATCTGCGGCAGGAGACCAGCACTGAAACCCAGCCTTTCTGCTCCTGCCAGCTTGATCTAGCAGGAGATGCGCTGAACCAGCAGCACCAGAAAGGACGAAAATTCAGGAGCATCTGCAAAATGTAAGGCTGAATCCCCTACAGGCAGCGCGGGCATTTCTGCAGGGGTGGAGGAAAGAGGCACTTGCTGGGCAGAGGGCAGCAGCCCCGGCACCAAGAGCAGAGCTCTGCCGGGTTTCTGGGAGCGTAAAACCCCTGCCCTCCCCGGGACCGGCGCACGGCTGCCCCGGCGGGACGCAGCACCGCCAGCACCATGGACGAGGCTTTGCTGAGGGCCTCTCACACCTTGCGTCCCCAGTGCAGGGTGAAGGCACGAGGGGATATGGCAGGAGGGGATCAATGGGGGACGGGGGTCCCCATCCCGCTGGGGAAGACCAGGGATCCCCCCAGGTTGTGCCGGCTGAGCCAACAGCCAGGAGCAGGAGAAACCCCCGTGACCTCCCTGGCAGGAGGGATCGGGGCTAATTCTGCCACATTGCCGGTGTATTTTATTTGTCTGCACTTTCTGCAGCTTTTCTTGGCTGCTCGATCACGTTTTCCTTTCAGCGAGCAGAGGTTTGGGGGACACAGCAGCTCCTCTCGCAGGGGCATTTGTTGTGATGCCTCCATGCCACCAAGCGACCTGCTTTCCCAAAGCCCGCTCTGCTGTGCGGTTTTCTACCAACGCTGCCAAGAGCACCGCCGGCTCTCAGCTGGATCTGACAGACCAGGGCGTGGGTGCTCGTCCCGCGGCATGACTGAAAATCCCAAACAGGGATAAAAATCAGCCGAGCATCGGTAATCCCTACAGCAGCCGACCCTCCCGCTCAGCAAAGCCCCCGGCTGTACCTCAGTTCTGACTTGTGGATCTCCGCAATTTTCCTCTCCAGCTTCTCCGAGTGTTTGGGGAAGAACTGGAACTTGGAGCTGTAGCCTTCCGGGTGCTTCCCCGGGTCGTAGTCCCCGATCTCGGCTGGTGGGAGACAGAACCAGTCAGGAACAGCAGAGTGCATCCCCGTCCCGGCAGCGTCCGCCTCGGCAGCGGAGCTGGCAGCGACCAGGCACGGAGTCGGGGCTCAGAGCATCCTGGGAACGCCACTCCGACACGGCCATGGTTCCCGTTAGGAAGTATCATTTGTAAGGCATTAACTGTGTCCAATTACTTTCACCATTTGCTTGGGAATCACCTGCCAGCAGATGGTCACCGTCCCAAATTTATTAATTCCTTAAGCTATTTGCCAAGAACCTCCCGGGAGCCGCGCCGGGTCCGCACGATGGCAGCCCTGGGGCAATGGGTCACGAGCACCCTGGGGGCACCCCCGGCCCCCATCCCGATCCCAGCTGGGAACAAGGCAGCGAGAGAATTCTGCTCGCCCAGTGGATGCAACTGTGCCTCAAAAAAATATAATTAGTTGGAGATCTGTAAAGTGACATTGAGAAAGGCTCCTTCCCCTCTTCACCTAGCCCGGCAAAGTGCTGCCGGGTGGCCATGGGGACAGGCTGACCCAGTGGCTCTGCCCTGCAGGCAGGGATTGACCCCACGCCTGGAAAATCTGCTTCACGCCTGGAAAACCTGCTTCAAGCCTGGGCGAGCTGCAAGCGCAGCGACAGGCGTGTGTCCTCAAGGCGACAGGAGGGCTGTCAAGACAATCCCAGCGGCTCTGGCCCCAAGCACCGAGACCAGGGTGCAGAAACGCCCGAGACCACCCGATTTCTGAGCTCAGCCCTGCTCCCTCCTCAGCGCGGGCTGACGCAGCTCCGCTCCCTCTCCCAGCACCCCGCGGGAGCCGGCAGCGATCGCCGCTGGCATTTCACTGTAGCATGGCTCGGTAGCTGGTGTCTCCTGTGGGATTTACAGTAATCCGGCAGCCTCCTGCCACTGGGGATGAAAGGACCTTGCTCTGATTTAATTCCCTCCAGCCTCAGGTCCTAAGCGAAATGGAGACGTTACATTAATTTTTATGCTTCCTGCTTAAAAACACTAAAAGGGGGGAAACACACCAGCACTGTGAAGTAACTCAAAAATGCTTTGGAGCTGAAATTTGTCTTTTTTGATTGCTGGGGTGCATCTCCCCAGCTTGTCCCAGGGATGCGACCGCAGGCAGCGGGGGACTGCAGAGAGGGGCTCCAGCAAGGCGCAGAGCCGAGCACCCTCGGGTGGGGAAGCCCGCTCGCATGCCCGGCATCGCAGTGCTAACGGCATGTCAACGTGCTTTTCCACCACACCACCACCACCCAGCTCTTCGCAACAGCCTGATGAGCCCCGCTGAGCGGCCGGGTGTTGCACCACGCCGAGCAGACACCGGCCACCTCCGTGCTCTCAGCGCCAGGGGCAGCAGAGGCAAGAGCAGGCAGAGCCACGCCGGCAGAAGAACAGGCAGGAGGGCAGATCAGGCAGAAGGTTTTCAGAGGTTTTCCCACCTCCTGCTCCGAACACCACCAGCACCTCTGCAACTTGCTGACAAAGGCACTTTCTTTGCCGAGGTGCTCGGCAGCAAGCAATGAGCTTACCCAAGGCCACCCGCACCCGTCCTAGCAATCAGCAAAACCGCGGTTAGCTCTGCAGCCCTCTTTGCAACTGCAAACCGCAGGCGCTTGCCAGAGTTACCGCGGGCCGCGCACAGCCCCAGAAAGAGCAGTGCTTTGTCACAGCGCTGCTTCGGATGCTCATGGGGACACCGCTGCCCCGAATGCAGGTGGGACAGCTCGGGGAGCAGATGGCAGCGCGGTGCTCCTGCTGCGGCGAGACCCCAGCACCAACCCTCGCCCTCCTCTAGCCACGCACGGCACGAGCACAGTCCTGAAGCGTGAGCCCCGCACTGGCGGGGTGACATTTGTATTCTAGGTGCAGTGATCTGTTGTAAGTGAAATAATGTAACCAGTACTTAGCATGAAAAGCAAATTTATCTTGTCAAAAAGCATTACCTTGAAGGATATAGGCGGCCAACAAAGCCGCGTCCGAAGTCTTGCAGAGGAGACGGCCGTGGTAGAGATCCCTCTTGATCTGCAGGAAGACTAAGTACCTGAGGACAGAAGAGAGAGTCTATTTATTAAGTAAAGTTTAAATTACCTAAACAGGCAATTTAGATGTGGAATATCTGCCACGAGACGCTTGCACTAACGTTTCCCTCGGAGCAGCCCGTTCACAAGACACTCTGCTTGCTCGCAGCCAAGCGCCGATCGGCGGGGATTGCCCCCGGCCAGGCCGGCGCTGGGGCTCACGTCTGCGCTGGGGCTCAGGTCTGCACAGCCCAGCCCCCTCCACCCGCAGGGACACGGCGCCGGCTCCGGGGCCAGCACCCAGCCTCAAGGGCTGACGGAGGTCTCCACCAAGGCTCCTCTGTCACCGGCCGGCTCCCCGCCGGCACGGCCGCTCCCAGCAGGGCAGAGCTGCTGGCAGAGACATCCTCCCTCAGGCACGGAGATAGGCGGGTGAGCATTCCCACCGGGAAAACGCACAAAGGAGGAAACTCATAGACAAGGAGGTGCTGGTCCCTTCTGCCTGCCAGCCCCCGCAGTCCCCCGCGATGCTTCACCCTGTTTCGGGCAGCGGTGCCCAAACACAACCGCAACGGCCGCAGCCCATCACAGGGTCACCGGGGGCCGAGGCGCCCAGGGCTGATGCTCTGGAGGGGGTCTCGTGGGCCCGAGCCCGCCAGCGGCTGGGGCCCCTCCCCCCCCCAGTCCTGCATCCTTGTCCAGCTGCTCCGCCTCCACGTAACGAGATTTCCTCCTTTCCCAACTTTCTGTATCCTTCCAGGTCTCTGTATACGCATCCACATCCCTCCGTGCTTGCCAGTGCTCAACACCGCATCGCCTAGAGCGAGCTACCGCTTGCGCTCGCCCACCTCTATCGCCGTGCACCAAAGCCCAGTGAACAGATAAACTACGCTGGAAAACTACATATTTGAATAAATTTCAACCTAAGTAACAGTTTGGGCTGAGTCATATGGCAATGCATTTGGGAAAACCTTTTGATGGTAAAATGTAAGTCCTAGAGTGAAGGAGCAAAATGGAAATTGGAGTGCTCAGAAATGTGTTTAAATAATCAGACTTGCACTCTCCAATGCCTCAGTCATGCTTCGTTTCTCAAATCCGTATTTATGACGAGATAAACCACTAATTTTCACAGATAAAATATATTAAAGAGGAATCCAGATATTGAAGTGCACTCAGTCCAGGGTTCAGCTGCAGCTGCAGGCACACCTTGAATGGCAGCGAGCCGGCGCAGCCCACCCGCACGGGGGGCTCATCCTGCTGCGTGGGGGACCCCTGGGGACCCGTGGGACTGCCAGACCCAGACCCCAGGCAGCCTGAGCCCGGCTGGGCCGCAGAGCTCCGCACTCATGTCAGGTGCAGGGCACAACAGAGGGGCTGGAGGTGGCTGCGTTGTGGCTAATGCCGGGCTAATGCTCTGTCCGTGGGCAGAACAAGGGCTGGGGCTCCCAGTCCCCACCGTCACCTCTGAAGCACCGGCGGTCCCAGCGGCTGGTGGCCGGGGCTCCCAGCGCTCAGGGGGGCAAACGGCGCTGCTGCCTGAGCACACCCGCCCGGGGCCAGCCGGGACGGAGACCCTGGGCTCGGCTGGCAAGCGCCGCTGGCACCCTCGCCAGCACGAGACCTTCGCTCTACCAGCCCTTCCCCAGCGCAGACCTCACAACAATGCATAATCGAATGGGTTTAACCCCGCCAGTCCCCCCAGCCTCATGGAAGCCCCCTGCTCCCTTTAAGCAGGGCAAGTCTGTAGATCTGAGCTGGTTTTACAAACAAAAACATTCAGCAGGTGCCAAACGGGTTTTCCAAAGCCTCACCTATGCCTGGGAAATATCCCCTGGCAAGGAGAGTTTCCCGGGGCAGCGCTGGGCTGTGGGACGAGGCTGCCTCGGAAAAGGCCATTACAGATGGGAAATATCTCTGGGCTTGAATCGTGAGCGCCGGGCTGGCTCCAGCCCCATGCTCCCCAGTCCAGCTCCAGCCCCATGCTCCCCAGTCCAGCTCCAGCCCCATGCTCCCCAGTCCAGCTCCAGCCCCATGCTCCCCAGTCCAGCTCCAGCCCCATGCTCCCCAGTCCAGCTCCAGCCCCATGCTCCCCAGTCCAGCTCCAGCCCCATGCTCCCCAGTCCAGCTCCAGCCCCATGCTCCCCAGTCCAGCTCCAGCCCCATGCTCCCCAGTCCAGCTCCAGCCCCATGCTCCCCAGTCCAGCTCCAGCCCCATGCTCCCCAGTCCAGCTCCAGCCCCATGCTCCCCAGTCCAGCTCCAGCCCCATGCTCCCCAGTCCAGCTCCAGCCCCATGCTCCCCAGTCCAGCTCCAGCCCCATGCTCCCCAGTCCAGCTCCAGCCCCATGCTCCCCAGTCCAGCTCCAGCCCCATGCTCCCCAGTCCAGCTCCAGCCCCATGCTCCCCAGTCCAGCTCCAGCCCCATGCTCCCCAGTCCAGCTCCAGCCCCATGCTCCCCAGTCCAGCTCCAGCCCCATGCTCCCCAGTCCAGCTCCAGCCCCATGCTCCCCAGTCCAGCTCCAGCCCCATGCTCCCCAGTCCAGCTCCAGCCCCATGCTCCCCAGTCCAGCTCCAGCCCCATGCTCCCCAGTCCAGCTCCAGCCCCATGCTCCCCAGTCCAGCCCCGGCCCCATGCTCCCCAGTCCAGCTCCCACCCTCCACGGGTAAACCTGTGACCTGCATTTCAATTCTCCCTACCGTGCTTGACAACTGCAGATGTTTGCTAATCTCCGATTAAAGAAAAGAAATTCAATTAACATACTGTATGCGCAGCTTAATGCCCACATAATGGCTGTCATTACTCAGAGCCGCCGGCTCTGGCCGTTTCACATGGAAATTAAGGCCTGATGGCTGCCCAGGGCTGCAGTTGCTGGGAGCAAATGTAAAATCTGCAAACTAAATAAATGCCTCTTAAGCAAAACAAGGAGATGTATCCCTGTGAAACTATTCCTGGGCACTTCTGTGGGTCCCCTAAAATGTGCCTGTAGGAAAAACCAGATCAATCGTACCCAGGACAGCTGATTACAGCGGTGTCCTGGCACCAGCAAAGAGCCTGGCATTCTGGACGTGAAGATGCTTTTAAACAGGCCCAGCAAAACACTTTCGTCCTGATCTGCGTCTCCTCTCTACTGTCAGCCCCGAAGAACTGAAACTTTCTCAGGCTTCCAAACATCTTAAGGGGTTTTTAGTTCTGTTTTTTGGGTCCTTCTGTGAAATACAAGCAAAGCTTTCGTTAGTTTTGTACATTATCACGGCGGATCCAAACTCCAGAAGAATTTTTGAAACACCTCACCATCCTCTACTTCTAACTGACCTGCCCAACAAAAATACAGAGAGCTTATTAACGCAAGACTGAAGTAAAAAGCTGAGCCCAGGTATGTTCCGAACGGGCTGCAAAAGCCCAGACATCCTCTCTCATTTGCTGCCTGCAGAAATAGACTGAAAATCCCAAGAATTAAATCCCGGAATATATTTAGCTCTACCAGTAAGCCTACTTAATTCTTGATACGCTTAGCACAGACCTCGGCTATTCATCAGGAATATTTAATGGCAGCCAGAGCATCGTCCCCCAGGCAAATGGCGAAAGGGCAGCCCGGCGCGGGGCCCGGGCAGGCAGAGGGACGCGGGGCTGCACGGCTTCGGGCTGCTGGGACTGAGCCGCTCCGAGCCAGTGACAAGGGCTACGTGCCACCGCATGAGCTATCGGGGGCCAAGACGCTGGGCGTCCTGCAATTGGCAGCAGCTGAGTGTTCGCAGGGCGACACGGCATTTACAGCCCACTTTGAAGACAGCAAGAGAAGTCTGTCCTGCTTTTGTCCCTGTTTTTTACAGGTAAACGGGGGGCTTCCTTCTCCAGGACTGGTGATCTCCTGCCTCCGACTAAGGTCCACCGCAGGCAAAAGCCGAGGCTGGAAGAGGGGAGTGCTGCAGCTGCACACACAAACGGTGATGGTTTTTCCCCACACCCAGACCCTTTGTTCACAGCTCCCCGGCTTTGTCCGGAGCCCTCACCTGCATTTTGGCAGACGGCACCCTACAAGTCGGGCACCCTTTCACACCCCAGCCCTAGATCCAGGCCATAGTCAGAAAAAGCATTTCTGCAGTTGTTTCTTCACGTTTCTTCTCCAGATCATCTCCCTGGCCTGGACTTTACATAAGGACACATGCAAACGATTAAAAGCAGAAGGAAAGTGAAACATTTCCCTCCTAGAGCTCGTTGTGAGAATCAGCCGGCTCCCGTTGCGGTGGCCCAGCTCCAGGGCATCAGCAGCCAGGGCTTTTTAGCCCCAAAACACTTTTGGATCCTTTGATACTTTGATCCTTCGATACTTTTCTGAGCTGTCCGCAGATGCCCACGCACCAGGAGCGAGCCGACCGACTTCCTAAGCTACAAACAAGCCCGTGCCTTGAAGCCAGGGAAAACCAGCCAAACAGCCTGGAAATCCGGACGGCGAAGCGCAGCCCGGCAGAGGGGAGCAGCAGACGCTGCCGGTGCCGTCCCAGCGCCCGGCCAGGGCCCCCTCTGCCCTCCCGCTCCCGGTCCCTCCCCGGGCAGCCGCGGTGCCGTGCCAGGGTGGCTGCCAACCACGGCACCGATGTGTCGGATGCTCCGGAGCTTTTGGTGGCAGCAGTACGAGACGGTGAGAGGTCTGTGGTGCAGCCGAGAGCTCCACACAAAAACCTGGTGCCTTTAACTGGCGGGAGCTGGGCTGGGATGTTTTAGCATCGAAGGAAAGTTGCCAGCCCCTTATTCATCATTTATTTCTCTGTTTTTTACAGTAAGTTCTTGGATGTGTTTAAGAAAAAGCAACTTTTCCCTCAATACAACAGAATAAAGGGGACTGAAGCCGTCTGGGGGCAGACACAGACCCAGTGCTGCGCGAGATCCAGCGGCAGCCGGCCTGCCTCCAGCTCTGGAGCTCGAGGAGAGGAGAGGAGAGGTCCCTGCATGTGCTGTCCCTGGTCTCTGCATGACACTGGAGCAGGACAGCTGGGGAGCAGGAGCTGCCACCCAAAAGGTGACAGTCCCCTAATCACTCAAAGCACCCTGATGGCAAATCTCAAGCCCTCTCCTGGGTGCAGGGCTGGCAAGGGACTCTGCAGCCCTGATGGTAACACCACCGACAGGAGCTGGGGACAAGTGCAGGACAACCCCAGGGGACACCACTGGGTTCCAGAGGTTCATCCATGCCACTTCTCTCTTCTAATTACATCCTTGGCAAACGGCCCCTGCCAGCGACAGGACAGGAGTCTCGGTGAGCCCCAGGGCTGCCCCATCGGCCCTTCTTCACCGCCTGCGTTAGAGGTTCCTTTAAAGCTTCTCGAGCTGGGTGAGAATCCAGCGGGGAGCAGAGGGGTGCGGATGCCCCCGCCAGCTGGGAGGGGAGCAGGGAGCCTTTACTCCTGACCTGAGGAAAATCTGGAAAACATCTAAGCACGGCTGAGGAACTCACTTCCAGCTCTGCTTTAAAAGGTGACGGCAGCCCCGCAGGGAGCCGCAATGGACCCAGGCATGGGAAGGGTGCGTGCCACCACTGCCCCCACGGTGGCCCCTGCTGACACAGCTGGGTCTGGGGTCTTCCTGCCACGGGCGCACAGCGGGGGCCACGCTCAGCCCTCCTACCTAACCTGACATCCCAGGGGACAGCACACCGAGGGGACAGCACGCTGTGGTGCCTGACCCATCAGCAGGGTGATTAAAGCAGTTCCCTGTTTCCCTTCTCTAGCAGAACTAGGGGACAAGGCACTTGCTGTGCCTGACGCCCTCTCAGCCCTCGGGGCTCTCCCAGCTCTGCCACCCCTGTGCCGAGCCCAGGCTGAGCCTACAGGCCAGGCTGCTCCCGGTCCCACGGCGTGCCGACACACTGCCTTTCATGCTCCGGCCTCATCTGAAGATGCAGAATTCCCCACAGCACCTTTAAACATCTCTAGTAAATTTTACCCGGCATTAGTGGAGCCTGCGTGCCCAAAACCTGCTGCGGTTGGGAACTGAAAGGCAAGGCTGGTGTCGCCCACCCAGCCCTCGGGTGAGGCTGAAGCGCGTCTCGCTGCCCTGCACCACGGCACAGCGGGCAAATGACGCAGTCCGCACCGCGCACGGGGCGTAGCAGCCGCCGAGCCACTGCAGCTGCTGGCAGAGCAAGGGGTCCTGCCCTGGGGGTAGGTGACTGCCCCGGCCCCGGGCTGGTGGGGATGGTGGGGTGCCCGTGCCATGGCAGCGCTCTGTGCCCTTGTCACACTCCCTCCAGCGCGCCTGCACCCAGTCCACACCATTTTTATTACCTTCTCCCTAACAAACCCCAGGCTTGTGAAGACAACTAAGAATTATTTGCAGCAATAATGGCAAAAGGTTCCAGGGGAAAAATGCAGAAACCTTTCGCAAAGGCGCCAGCCCGGCTGCCTCAGGCAGACCCGACCCTCCACGCCACGGCAGGCGGGGGGAGCCTGGGCTGTCGCGCCCCGGAGATCCACAGTCACGGCTTGTTTTCCAAAGCTGCTGCGATTTCTCCCGTCCTTCCTCCTGGAGAAACTCAAGAGAAGCGCTGTCAAGTCTCTGCATCGCAGTTTATCACCCATTTCTCCCAGAGCATTCATGCCCCTTACGTAAAAGGGATGTGGCTAATTACTTCCAGGGGACGTCAAGGGAACTGGGGACACTCAAACCCTTCCTGACAGACCAAGCATACGTAATGACACCCTGAGCGAAGGATGTGCTCAGGCAGGGGCACTCACAGCTGATTGCCGAGCGGCCAGAGTAACAGCAGGAGCAGAAATCGGCACTCTTACAGGTGAACTGCTGCTCCTGCTTGAACCCACCTTCCTGCGCTGACCGGGACCGGGGCCTCCAGTTGGAGGGAGAGACTTTGGGCAGCTGCAGGGAAGGACACGTGGCTGGGGGAGCCCAGGAACC